GCCTCGCGGGATCGTCCGCCTCACAGGCCGCCTCGAGCGCGCATCACGCCCCGTGGGGAAGAGCTCGTCTGCTCACCCACTTCTCCAAGGCCCGTCAACCGCCTTTAATTCTGACTTTAAAAAATATACCGACTCGAACGTTCTGACTCCCGGGCTGCCCTAGTCACAGGCCCTCCCGTCCCCCCACTCCCACCCCTCAGCTTCTCATCCACGCGGTTGGCAGTTTCATCGGTTGCCATTTTGTTTGTCAAATATTGTGGGTTTTTTAACTAATGTTTTATCACCCTCTTTAAGAAAGCTATCGTTGGATTTTACAGACAGAGGAGAGGCTAATGCAGTTTATGAAATAACCAGAGCGTGGCCCTAACTTCACCCCTTTAAAGCAGCCCTGCCCCTGGCAGTAGTGGTGGCTGTTCTTGGTCCCCCTCCCCGTCCTGTGCGACATCACCCCCTCGCGTAGCCGATGGAGCCACTTGGCTTTTCTATGCCCGCCCTCTGCTTTTCTGGGTGTTACCTGCTCCGCGGTGCAAGGGAATATTGTGAGTGTAGACGAGGGGTTCAGTAGCCCGGGAGACACGTGACGTCTGATTAGCAGCAGGTCCTGGGGGTGGAGGGGACCCCCAGCACGGAACCACTGTCGTGTGCAGAGCACAGAGTCTGGGCCCGACGCCTCCCCTGATTTCACAGCCATGGTCACACCGGGTGCGCTCCAGGTCACGTTCAACGGGAGAAGCGCAGCCCCTGCCTGGACGATGGCGCCCGTGGAGCCGCAAGGGGCCAGCTGCTCCTGGAACAGACCCCGGGAGGCCCCGCGCCGAGACATCCAGATGTGAGACAGCAAGGCTTTCTTTCATCGGACGCGCAGGGCCCAGGACAGAAGGCGAGCGGGGACCCCGGGGGCCGGGTGGTGCTGGGAGTCGGGAGGGGAATCCAAACCTCACCCTCCAGCCCCGGGTCCGGTCTCAGCCGTGCACACACAGTGGCTGGGAGAGAAGGAGGCCACATGAGAAAAAGACATGTTCCCCATGACCTTGGTTTCTCAAGGGCGTTGCTTCATGGAACACGTGAGGGTGACACCGTGATGTGCCCTTAGCACGTCCTGACAGTAACCCCGCTCAGGTACTCGAGCCAGGACTCGGACACACAGTCTTGAAGGAAGCGGAGGGAATGATGGACAAAGGAAAATAAACAGTCGGATGCAGAACAAGACTGACATTCAGCTTTTTTGTTTGTTTTTGGTGTTTTTTTTAATCCTCATCAGAGGATATTTTGTCCATTGAGTTTTAGAGATAGTAGGAGGGAGGGAGGAGGGGGGAGAGAGAAAAACATCGATGTGAGAGAGACACATCGATTGGTTGCCCCCCGTACACGCCTGTTCCCTGCAATCGAGGTACAAGCTCTTGACTGGGAATCGAACCCATGACCCTTCCATCCTTGGGCCAACACTCTAGCCACTGAGTCGAACCGGCCGGGGCAGATGCAGCTCTCTCCCATAAAAGGCAGTCGCGATTATGAAGTAGGTTTCTTCGGTGCCTTAACGCTGCAGGCACCCTGCTGCCTGCTACCGTGGTGAGGACGCCACAGCTGCGGTGCCAGGACTGGGGACCACAGCTGCGAGCACCCCGCGCCTGACCCTTCCCGTAAATGTGGTTCCCTACGCGGGGTTTTCTGCTGGGGCTGTGCACACAGCAGAGCAAACCTTCCTCTCCACTGACTGGCGGGCCCCGGCGATGAGCGTGCTGTCAGTTTCCACAGAAGCCTCTGTGAGGACGGCCCAGCCCTGACACAATGAACAATCAGGGCAGAAGCTGTGGCTTCTTTGTTGGTGGAAGTGAAATCCTGCGTGGGGAGCCGCCTTCCTGCCGCCGGTCCGCTGCTCGGAGCTGAAAGTGGTTTTGTCGCCGGGGAGGTAAAGGAAGGCTGATTAACTGCAATTCTCATGTTTCGCTTTGAACAGGGTCTGCCAATCCCCCACCGTTCGCCAGCCACCAGTCACTTAAATACCACCCACCTAAGCACCAAAAAAGCCACCGTCGCAGCATCCAGATCCTGTCGGGGTGCGGTGGCTGCCAGGATCAATGAGAAGCGCCGAAGGTCGTTGGATTCCCGCCTGGAGGTCAGGAGCTGTGCACAGTCATGCGCCTTTTCAAGTCCGAAGAGGCAGCGAGGAGGCTTTTCAGTCCCTCATCGTTCCCTGCATCCACTCAGCTGACACCTGTCCAGGGACTTCTTCCTGTCCCGTCACCTGGTGGGGGATCCGGAGTTGACCTGGTCCAGCAGGGAGGGGGCAAGACTGGGTTCAAGGTTGAAATTACATCATCTCTGAAAACAGCCAGAGCAACATGGTAGCCCATCACAGTCCCAGAGCAACAATGAGTTCCATTGTAACTATCAGGAGAACGCCATATTCTGAAGAGATTTATATACTAGTATGTACAGGGGTAAAGTGTCGAGGCATAAACAGCTATCAAATAGTTTGGCAAAGGTACATGTGTCTGCATGTGTATATATAGATGCACACATATAATGTGTATATTATGTATACATATATTATGTGTGGATATGTATCTAGAGAGAGAGCAAACATTGCAAATTAGTAACAATTGGTTAGTCTAGGTGAAGAATACAGGGGTGTCCATTGTATTTATGTTTTACCTTTTCTATAGTTTTAAATATTTTCACAGCGCAAAGTTAGAGGAAAATTTATTATCTCTGATCTCAAGGAACTTACTATCTAGAGATTGATTTTTTTCCTAGTGTAAAGGAAGAGGGGAGGATTGGATTGAAGACACGGGGCCAGAAGTCATTCCTAGAATGTGGACACTATTAGACCAGGTCTGGATGCCTTTGGTGAGGTCCGGGCAGCTGCATCGGCCACACCCACACCCACAGATTCCCCACAGGGAGGGAGCCTCGCAGCAGGGGTGTTGGGTGGAGGAGTGGATGGGTGTGGGTGGAAGAGTGGGTGGGTATTGGGTGGAGGAGTGGGTGGGTGTTGGGTGGAGGAGTGGGTGGGTGTTGGCCTCCAGGACAGGGAGAAAATACTTTTTGCTGTGTAAGCTCCAGTGTGTTTTTGCATCTTAGTGCAAAATGCAATAATAATCTGAGCCTATTTTGCAAAGAAGAAACTGGTCTTTGCAGGATTCACGGAGTCCGGAGAGCGCTACCCACTGAGCAGTGTGGCAGGCCCGAGGCCCGGGGTGTGGTGGTCACAGCCTTGGACCTGGAATTGGGGCCGTGGCGTCTGGACCGGCTCCTTCGAGGGAGCAGCCTGTGCCCTCTTTGCACACACGCCTGCCACGCCTCCCTCTGCGCGTCCGGAAAATGAAGAAATGGGCTTCTCTGAGGCCCCTTTCTGTGCTGAAATTCTGTGGTTTTGATTCGTAATGATGACTCATCGTGAATCAACAGAGAAAATGAAATTATGTTCTGCATATTCTGGCTAAGAAAGCAGGCGAGGCTGCGCTCTCAGGTGCGTTTCCATCACAGTCATTCGAGTGGGAAAACCATTCCGTTATTTGAAGGTGTGAGGTCCGGTCCTGGGAGGCCGTGTCTGCGCGTCTCCGCGCCCAGGATGCTGCAGGGGACCAGCCTGTCCTGTGGGCAGCGCTCCTTCCTCGGCGGGCAAGCTGCAGCTCCCGAGGTCCGAGAGCCCAGAGCCCTGATCTGAAACAGCACGGCCATGAGTGCGGTCACTGCGCTTCCCGCCGATCGATCGCCGCATCTCACTCCCGCTGACTGCAGAGGAGGATTCGCCACACGAACAGAAACCGGGTGTTTATAATGCAGTTGGCTTCCTCCTTCCCCAGAAGCCAGCGGCCTTCGAATCTCAATAATCTACAGGCGGTTTTCTGTGTCCATCTTCAAACTACCTTCCCATGGGAATGATCTCAAAATTAAAACAAAGGGAGTTGGAGAGTGTCTCGCTGTCCCTTCTAGCTGCTACACAGTTGCTTCCTCTTGGCTCATCATTTACCTGCTGACGGGGGTCGGAGCCGGTCAGGGGAGGAGGCGCCGCCCCGGGAGTGAGGAGGGGCGTCCAGGCGAGGAGATGCCCTCTGCCCACTCCTGCGGCTCACACCTCACTCTCGGGACTTTTCTGTTCTCCCGTCTGTTGTGTTGGCTCCAGTTTCACATGTTGTGTTGGTTCCTGTTCATCCGAGGGGGACACCCTCCCTGAGGGAGAGGCTCGCAGCCTGATGGGTTGGGACATGTTTCTACAGGAGGGGGCCCTCGCTGGCACCCCGCTGGCAGAGAGGCAGTGCCCGAGCTGCCCAGGCCCCGCACCCTAAAGGGCAACCGGTGACCCTCCCTCAGTTTTCTCCCAAGAGAACAGCTGCTCATGTTCCCATGTCCTCGTCCACCCGTGTCTGTGGGTGGCCCGTCGCGTTTAGGTGGACGCATAGGGTGCGGGGTCCCAGGGACTCTACCCAATAACCTGAACCAATGCCTTCATTTCGCAGCGAGAAGCCACAGCGCCAGCGCCTTGCTCAGTGACGGTGACGTGCTGAGTCCCTCGCTCTGGCCGGAGGGGTAGAGTCACGGCCCCGACCAGGAGCGGATGGAGCCTACAACCAAGGTATGTGCCCTTGACCGGAATCAAATCTGAGACCCCTCAGCCAGAGGGCCAGAGCTCTCACCACTGAGCGGCTGACCAGGGCCTCCTCTCTGTTCTGGTCATTCACGTGGCAGGTCCCTTCTCGCCCTTGGCGGTGCCCGCCTCTCCCCTCCTCCTGCGTCTCTGGAACAGAACTGCGTTCCATGCGGCCGGAAGCCAGGCTTCCGTGCGGCGAGTACTGCTGGACCCTGTTTAAGAAGCTCCCTGTTCCAAAGTCATGAAGACGGTTCTCTGCTTGGTCTCCAGCAGCAAACGCTTGTTGTTTCCACATCCACACCCGCGGCTCCCGGCATGGCTGCTCCTGTGAGGAGGGAGCCCGTTCAATCTCCCTGGGCAGCTCTCCCATGGGCGCCACTCTGTTTTGCTTTTAACTGATGTTCTTTTCCCTCTGATGCCACCGCATTATCCCTCAGGGCTGGCGAGTCCATCGGCCTTTTCTGGGCTCTCCGCTCGGCCTCCTGGTCGACCAGGACTCTCTGTGCTTGTCTGGCAGCTGTGCAGCACCTGGCGCTCAGGCTGCGAGGAGGCCTCGCCCGGCTCCTGGCTCCACTTCCCACTGAGGCGCGGGAATCCGCTTGCCGGCTGATCGCACAGAGGCTGTAGACCAGCGGTTCTCAACCTGTGGGTCTAACGACCCTTTCACAGGGGTCACCTAAGACCATCGGAAAACACATGTATAATTACATATTGTTTTTGTGATTAATCACTATGCTTTAATTATGTTCAATTTGTAACAATGAAAATACATCCTGCATATCAGAGATTTACATGACGATTCATAACTGTAGCAAAATTACAGTTATGAAGTAGCAACGAAAATAATTTTATGGTTGGGGGTCCCCACAACATGAGGAACTGTATTAAAGGGCCGCGGCGTCAGGAAGGTTGAGAACCGCTGCTGTAGACGGTTCAGGGGAAACGGATATCTTTACAGAAACGTTTGCGTTTGTGCCCATGGCTGTGCCCCCACTACGGGTCCTCATCACTCACGTCTCTCAGCAGAGCTGTGTCGTTTCTTGGGTTACAATCTCGTTAGAGTCAGTTGTGGGCATTTGGGTTTTTAGGCGATTGTACCTGTTTTAGCTTCTAACCTTCCCTTTTCAAACTGCTCATGGTGGGGTGTGTTTTGATGATCCAAACCTACAGGACAAGCCTTCCCAAGCGACGTTGTGAAGTAACAGCCCTGTGGCTGTGCTCACGGCGCCCAAGGGGGAGCCACTGGCCAGGCACCTTGAGAGTGTCTCCCCTG